AATAAATAGAAAAATGAATAGTAAGAAAGCATCAGCATCATTGCAAGAACTGACTCTCCAGTGGGAGGCTGCGTGTTAAACAGCCCCTGGCTATCAATGCCTCCCCGGCTCAAGTTTCATAAATATGTTTTAAAATATGATATTTTCTATATTTTTAACTTGAGACAAATATATATATTTGATTTGATTTGATTTGATTTTGATAGATAGATAAAAAGATAGTAAGAGAAATAGACAGTTGATCTAAAACTTACAACGGAAGATTAATGAAATGCATGAAACATCCCGTTGTGAACTATACCCCTAAATTTACTCTGTTGTAAGGTCGTCTCCGACAAACTGTACCTCCGTTGAACCCTCCGTCCACTTTCCAAACCAAACATTTCCAAGGTCTTCGCGTAAATATAAACAAAAAACTCATGGAGCTAATAAAACTTAAAGTGCATTAAAAGAACCAATTTAAACATAATTTCAGTGAATCATCTACGAATAAACAGTGAAATTACTTTAACCAAATAAATATTTATTTCAGAAGATCTAAATTGCTTTAGACTTAAATTCAAACAACTATTCCCGTGCCATACTATTTTAGATCGTAAGTTCCTTATGTTTAATTCACAATATCTTTTAAACCTTTTTATTGGCCGATTCACAACAGTACCTTTAAAACCTTTATTGCCGATTCACAACAGGACCTTAAGCCTTTTTTCAATTCTCAATGATACATATTTCTTTAACCAATTGTTCGTTTACAACAATATTCATGTATTTAGTTACACCCAACTGGTTTGATATTTATTAACAATCATTATTTATATACATGTACGTCAATAACAATTTGTATTTTGTAGGAAACCTCGTTATTGAAATATACATTTGTCAAGAAGAAGTTCTCATATGCATGAAGAATAGAGTGTTTATCTAGCCTATTCGCCTTTTTGGATTTGTCAGCCTTCGAGTTGCATTTCCTCCGCCTTATTTCCGCCCTTTCGTGTAATATTCCTTTTGTTCGGTTCACACCCGTATAGTGTAATTGTTACATAAAAGTCCGATTAAATTAATAAATGTATCAAATATCAAATATCAAGTCAGATCTGGTATCTTTATATATAATACTAGCTTGGGAAACCAGCGTTGCCCAGGCTACTAAAAAATACTTCCGCCGTTTACCCGCACTTGAACGATTTTACCAGTGGCCGAATTAAAAGAATTTGAGCCGCGGCTTAAATATGGTTGGTTCCACTTAAAATTGTATCAAATGTTTCAAGATTTAAGCCAACGCTTAATTTAAACCAGGTTTTGGCGGATTTTTGGCTTATTTAAACCGCTGCTCAAATTCTTTAAATTCCATCTCTGGAATCTTAATTTTCTTTATTAAAGTCGACCCACTCAAAACCAAGCTAAGAACATTCCTGTGGGTCCAGGCGCGTAACCAGGGGGGGGTGCAAGGGTGCAGATGCACCCCCCTTTCTTCTGAAAGGGGGTGCAATGACGAATTTGCACCCCCCCCCCAGTCCCATATAAAAGAAATTGTTTCTCATAATTTTCTAAAATAGATGTCAAACTTGACATCTCTGAAATCAAGAACTTATACAAAGTAAAACATCCTTTAAAGTTTGAAAAGTTGGTTAAAAGGAAAAAATTCATCCATTTATTTTGGATTATAATAGCCATTTTTGGGAGTTTCAAAAACATTATTTTAAGCGAGGATATTTGCCATTTTTAGTCAAAGTTATAGAAGGGTTTTTTTTTGATTACTCAAAAATTCACTAAGAATGTCTCAATGGCTCAATTTCAATAAATAAACTCTTTTAAACAAAATATTAGAAATTTTATTTTTTATTCATCTTCATAATATCATGATGAGGCCGAGGGACAAGAAGCCTTAATTTTAAATAATGAATTTTTTCCATAAGCTAAAGTACCATTCATTTATTTTTTTATGTATATTTTATATGTAAACTGAAAAGTTTCAGACACTAAAAAATAACCCTTAACAGCTTAAATACAAAACCAAAAAAAAAATTTTCCCTGCGGCGCGCTTCTTTGCACCCCCCCTGGAAAAATTCTGGTAAATTGGCAAATTGGTCTAGGGGTTCCTGAGTTATGATCGGACAACCAAACACCAAACAGAGATTACAACTTTACATACATAGATATAGATAGAGTTGTTTAAAGAATTGTAACTACTGAGGATCGTCATGATAGACGTGAAACATTATGTTTAGTATAATTCTTTTTTAATAAAAAATGTGAAGTTAAAAACTGAAATACATAGATATATATAATATATAATATATACAATGTATCTATACTGTCAACTTAAATGTACATATATTTACGAGATAAATTACACTTTTAAATATTTTCATTATTACCCATCTTGTAGGGCGCTAGTAATTATAAATAGCAGAGGCTGTAAATCTATATATACGCACCATAAAGATTTGTTTAAAGACATATATATATATAGATAGATAGATAGATAGATAGATAGATATAGATAGATAGATAGATAGATAGATAGATAGATAGATAGATAGATAGATAGATAGATAGATAGATAGATAGATAGATAGATAGATAGATAGATAGATAGATAGATAGATAGACAGTTAGTTTGCAAAACTAAATGCATAAAGGACGCATGTGCAAATCTGCGCAGATTCATCTAAAATTGCACTCTGCGCATGCATGCAAAACTGCACCTGCGCACTCATGCAAAATAGTGCAAATATTTGATCAGTTGCAAAATCAGGGGTATGCACTAAATTAAAAAAATAATATGATGCGTTATGTTGGGAGGAAAACTGTTAAATATAAAAGTTTAGTTTTCTAAATTTTAAGATTTGACATCTCTTCTACATTTTTTTTATTGCAGAACAGCTGCAGTTGCAGCTGTTTTGCAGCTACAAGAGGGGTGAAATATATTTCTAAATATGTAAAACATATTCTTTTAAACCTAAACTTTTTATATATACTTCATAAAGGCAATAAAATAAAATGTACAGTTGTAAAAAGTTGCAATAATTGAAACCTTAAAATCAATAAATGTTAAAATTTCACCCCCAAAGTATGTGCAAAATGCATATATTGCAACTGCAGTTTTGGCTGAAAAGCTCCCATGCTGTCCTGATATCCTGATAGAGTTGGCGAAAATCCGGGGCTCCAGTGCACTCACAGTCTAGACAGCCAGACAGCCAACTGTCAATATTGACAACTAGACAGAATACAGATAAAACTAACAGCTAGACTTTGACAGCCAGGCATCCATGCATCTATATCGAGAGCTTGACAGCCAACAGAAAAACATCACGGATATCAGACACTTTTGTTCACAAAAGGATATGTCAAAAATGAAATAGACAGAAATAGTACGAAAAAGATTAAAACTATTTTTTCATCAAATATGGAAAAAAATTTACTATTTATTATTTTTAGCTGCAATCTTTGCACTATTGTAATGTATACCTGCGTAGAGCAAATATTTCTGCTGCACGCATTGCATGAAGTAGGTTCTATGAAAACTCAATAAATACTAGAAAATGCATTCAAAATGAAAATTAATGAATGACACACCGCTAGATCATATCAATCAAATTAATGATCGGAATATTTCTGTTCCGTACACAGAAAATATTTGATCCCAATCTAAAAGATAATAATGTGGTTATATATTTGTTTAGAATTTTAAAAAAATTTAATTTTAACCAAAATTTTTTGGCGAATCCGAATCTAAGAATGAAAGAAAAACTTTTTTGAAATATTTTGTTTGTTTTAACTGACAAATTTAAGGCTTTGGAACTGAGTACTCGTCGCAAACTCCTAATCTCTATATCGTTGCAAACTGATGTCGTATACAGGTGTTGTTTTAATCTTAAATTTCTGTATAGAGCAAATAGTTTATGTTTAAAATATTAAAGGTTTACACAATCAGGTTGCAAACATTTAAATATATATGTGGTGGTGAACATGCCCAATTCACAACGGTACCCTTCAAACACTGCTTTATTAATAATATGGGAGATAACGTCGTCTTTTATATTGAAAGTGTTTAATTCTGATAATTTCTCCATTTTTGATGAAGCATGAAATGCGCTGGTCACTTTTGCAGAGAAGCCACTACTTCTGAAAATTAACAGTTTTCAAAACCAAAAATATGGTCTCTGACTATGATAAGTCAATTTAAATTATGTTTACAGTTCTCTCAGGGTAAAAAGATGTTTTTACTGAAGTAAGGATATATCATACAAGATAAATTTATGTTTAATGTTAGACATATATAATTGTTTATAATATATATGTGACACGCAAAAAGGGATTTTTAAGATGATGTGACAGTTGCCTTTTATTATCAAATTCACAATACCATATGCAGAAAAAAAACGCTTTCAAAAATGAATTGAAATTTTAACATTTATTATTTAAAATTCGGTGATGTAGCAAACCTCTGTAGAGTAAAAAAGTAGATGTTAGACCCACATTTATTGAAAATATATTTCGGTCTGGGTTGACCCTCGTCAGTTCTAACGATATAATAACCATCAAATCGATAAAAAAAATTTTTTAACGAAATATTTTTTATTTTCGTAAACAAATTTAATTTCACAATATCATACATATATTGTTAAAAAGTTTACACGAAAAATGCATTTACAATATAGTTTTGCTATATTTTATTTATAGCTATTGTTACAGTTATACTGTTTAAGATAAAAAAAATTTTAAAATGTAAAAAGTCACAAGAAGATAAACAAACAAAAAAGATTATTCAAAATAATAATTTGGGCTGTCAAATGGACATAAGGGAAACGAACTCAGATTATGAGATGGAAATAAGATAATTTGCAAATATTCACTTTTAAAAAAAATGTTTTAAGACAATTATTATTCCTTGAGAATGTTTCTTCACAAAGATTAAAACAAACTGTGTAGATTTGTGTGTATAGAGTGGGTGGGGGTCGATCTAATTAACGAAGTTTTGCGTAAGTCGNTTGGACATATATTAAACTCCTGGCTCTTTATAAAGTCATACTTGAAAATAAAATTTTTTTTCGCAATACAATATTTAATTTAATTCACATAGAATAATTACCAAAAATGTAATTGTTTTGTTACTATACTTAAGGCTGATTGCCTTAAACCGCATTCTTTATTCGTCTTCAGTGTTAGATCTTAGCACAGGACTGAGGTTGAACCCGCTTGTCTCCAGGAAGCAGGTAGAGTCATACCATGCTTCTCTTGGCATCCCATGTCCTCCCAACCTATCCAGAAAACATCCAACCAGGCCCCCGATCACTCCGAAAATTGTCCCAAGTCCGATCGAGAGGGCCAATGCCACTGCTTGCCAGGCCGCTTGGTCAAAGGCAGAACGACCCAATAAGGGAAGATGGGGCAAACTGAGTGAAATCTGAAATTTTGACAGATTAACTCTCAAAGGGACTGTAAGCGTAACACCTCCATGCATAGATGACAATTCCCAATTTTAAAGCTTTGTCTGATCAAGTATGAATTAAATATAATATCAATGTTTTTGTTTCTTTAAACTGTTTATTTTCATTTGCGGGTTCAATGTCAAGCTGACTTGCGTTTTTATTGTTGATAAAAAGCAATGGAAAATTATCAGAAATAAATACTTTTCAAGTCAAGAAAACGACGGTGTATTTCACATTTTTGATCAGATGAAGGTTTCAAGGATAGCATTGTAAATCGGGCATTGCTATCTTTGCCATGGGAAGTCACTTAAATTGCGCTTACGTCTCTTTCTCTAAATAAACTTTTTTTGATCTAGACTTGCCACAAAAGTATTCTTTCTGCATTTCATGTTATGCCTTAAACCAAGGTCCTTTCTATATTTTTCGCTGTTCTCTTTTGTGTTCTAAACTTCTAATCCTTATTATATCTGCGCAGTGCGCATCCTAATCTATATAATAAAACAAGACATTTGTATATAATTGCAACCCGAGACTGACACACTTGAACCCGAACCCGTGTATTTGCCCGTTACTGTAATATATATATATATATATGTTGGCTATAGCCGGCCAAAAGGCTGGACCGAATGGGCTGAAATTTTTTGTGGACACTTATGGGTGGCCGCGTGGTGTTATAGGCTAAAAAAAAGAAAATTTTAAATATTTTTTTTTCAATTTTTAAAAAAGTATTTTTTTTTCAATTAAAAAAAAAATTTAATTAAAAAAATATTTTCTTTATAAATTTTTTCCCCCCCGGGAAGTGCAATTCCATGACATGCTTTCTAGAGTTGCGTGTCTTATTCACAACGGTACCCTTAAAAGTTTAATGTAAGCTATCCATGTTTAATCGTTATTTACAAGTGTGGTTTCTCAAGAAAAGGGACATTTCTACTGTAGGAACACATATAGGAATTATTAAAGTTAAACACTTTTAAACCTAAAAATACGGCAATATTTTCCACATTTTTGAGCAGGTATCAAGAATGTTGTTGTGAACAGAGAGAATAGAATATATATTAGAGTGGAATTTACTAGAAAAAAGTGCGAAACGGCCATTTTGTTGTACTGTTTCCATACTGCAGGTGTACTTCACATATTTATGCTATATAACCTTTTGGGCCCTGGAATATCATTTTATAGAAAATCTAAAATTAATATTAAAGAAAACCAAATTATGAAATAGGCTGGTTTCATAATTGACCAATGATCATTTCACATAGACTCTATGCCTTTCACTTTACAAACGATGATTTTCCGTTATAACTATAAATCGAATGATGTTTTTTATTCACTTAATTCATTATAAAGTTTATTTAACAGTTTAAAAAATTCGAAATTGAAATGAATAGTCTAGGGGACATACTGTATTAATGTACTCTACTGCATATAATTTGTGAACATTTACAAAATTTGGACACTTTGAACTCCCTTTCAGGCTGAAAGGGACTGAAAAAATTCATACCGAGAGATTGTCTAAATTCCACTCTAATATATATTCTATTCTCTTTGGTTGTGAATCATGTATTATCATTTTTGCATGGAGGATCACTTGAAATCAAGCTAACATTTTCTTTAACGAATCTTAACAACAATATGGACATATTTGTTATTTGATTCAATATATATAAAATTTTTGATTACAAGACAATGTATTAATAAAATAAAACTCTCAAAAAATACCACATTTCACCTCTTCAGTCCCTGTTGGGCAGATAAATATTTCTTCTTTTGTTTTATTCACATGCTCGCATCCTGAAAGCAGGAGCTAATTAGAAAAGTTGAAATTACTATTTTCATATTCTCAACAAAAAAATTTAACTTGCGGCGTGATGGTATAAGACATTGGTTTTTCCACTTCAGATAAACTTATTTCAATAACTTATAGTTTGAAATATCAAAGGACAACATCATTGGGTTGCAAAGATACAGGGATTAAAAGATTAGAGTTTCTGGTATAGAATCGGTTCCTTTTCATGAAAAGCAAAAAAATCTTTGATACTTTTAGATCATGAAAAAAAATGGTGGCATGGAAATTAACATTTGTAAGTTAAAAGCCCAGTATAATAGAACTGATAAGATTAAAACTGACTGACCTGGAGATGATTGACCAAGAGGATAGCTTCTACCTGGATACAGCTCATACAGGTCAAATCCATACGGTATTGCTCCTGGACCAAACATTACGTACATAAAGTGACAACCATTTAGATTAAAAGATATCCAGTTTAAACATAAAATAAATAAAAGCATTTGATTCAACTGATTCAACTATAACTTATGTGTAGTGATGTCATGAACAAATCCTGAATCACAGATTTAAGATAATGGTTGAATCGCTTCTAAGTAGTTCAACAACTTCTTGCGATTCATTCAAGTCGGTTCCTGAATAACAAGTACTTAAAACCGAAATTATACCTTGTTTTTCCTCTGCAAGACTTGCCATCAATATAGCAACTAATCCTCCCAGGAGAGCAGGAAGGCCATGAACTGAGAATGTATAATAAGAGATTGGAACACCAAGCTTCTTCGAGATCAGGGGTTCCACATGGGTTCCTGCAAGGACAACAAGAACACCTGGAAAAAATTGTTGCTTTCTTTTCATTAACCCCCAATTGATCCAATTTTACATAATTTCAGAAACTAGCCTGTTCCAATTCCTAGACAGGCGGCTCCCCATGGTTGGATTTTAGTTGCGGCAACTGCGCCTGCAGACACTCCACCCGCAATCAAACTTCCTTGTAGCAGTTGAAAATCCAAAGGTTTCCTATTCAAGCTTGAGCTTCCAATCAGCATTCCTTGATAATTTTTAAGAAATATATATTTTAAACTTTAATTTATTAAATTTTATGAATCTATTTGTAATAAAACGTTTGTTTACCTGCAGCAGAGGTGATTGTAGTACTTTGGATGAGGCAAGTGTTCAAAATTACAAATTCTGTGAAGAAGTTATAATGATAAATTTGACGTAACAAACTTTTTGCTATTCATTAAATCTATTCCTAGAAAATTCTCCATTAATCTTTTATTATAACTTTCCGACTTGCTGTCCGGGGAGTCCAAGACTGTTGATGATCAGTGAAGAGAATGCGAGCAGAAATGATCCACATAAGGAAACAGAAGAGGGGATATAATTGTTCTTTCTTTCTACTCAAATTTGATCTAACCAATTATGTTTTAAAGAATATTTGCAAATAGTTTATTAAAAATGAATGCAGATTCTATAAACTGGTAAATATATACGCCATGGTTAATTTTCCTGAGGTATGTGATCCAGTGCCTCTAAAATAAAAAATTATACCTTGAAAAAAAAATGTGTCTCTTAAATTCTTCAGGAATTTAAAGCTGCAGACTTTGAAAGTATGTCTTATTTGTTTTTGTGTTTGCATAAACATTTTTGGAAAATTTTTTTTATTAATTTACCATGAAATATGAATTTTACCTAAAAAGAATAAGAGATGAAACAAATCCAAAAACAGTTCCATAAAGTTGAATTGGACCAGAGGAGCCAGGATCAAGTGTATACAAGTATTCTATATTAAAACAATGATTCATCCAAAAAAACATCAGATTTTTATACATGCTTTAAACAAAGTTCAGTTTACTAGTATGTTATGGCCTACAGCAAAAAGGTACACATTACACACATGAATGTGTAGAAATGGACTATAGATTTATTTGATGCCCATAAAACCTTAACATAAAACTATTGGGCAACTTTTAAACCCCAATAACGGAAAAAAACAGAGAAAAATTACCTCCAGTCCCATATTTCATACTCTCTCACCTTAAAGAGAGATAATGCCCATTGTCTATTCTTGGAAAATCTAATCCAAATACTGACCTAATTGAAGACATCTAGCAAGTGACTGACCAGGTAAAAAGAACAAACTGAAACAACAGCAAAGGGTATTGATGGTTATTAAATCATAGCAAATGCTCTGCAAGCTCCAAAAATGAGATGCTGTAAATGAAAGAACACATCTGCATACATACAATAATTAACAATGAAGTTACAAAATTAAAAGTTAGAATTAGTTAGAAGGAATTTTGACCGTAAATAAAGAGGCAAACTGCTGAATAGCAGGAGTTGGAGAGGAGGCATTCTTTCCAACAAGAACAAGCTGGCAGTATGGTTTACCTAGCCAGCAGGAGATGGAGAAGAGGCATTCTTCCCAACAGGAACAAGCTGGCAATATGGTTTACCTAGCTAGCAGGAGATGGAGAGGAGGCATTCTTCCCAACAGGAATAAGCTGGCAATGTGGTTTACCTAGCTAGCAAGAGATGGAGAGGAGGCATTCTTCCCAACAGGAATAAGCTGGCAGTATGGTTTACCTAGCTAGCAAGAGATGGAGAGGAGGCATTCTTCCCAACAGGAATAAGCTGGCAGTATGGTTTACCTAGCTAGCAGGAGATGGAGAGGAGGCATTCTTCCCAACAGGAACAAGCTGGCAGTATGGTTTACCTAGCTAGCAGGAGATGGAGAGGAGGTATTCTCCCCAACAGGAACAAGCTGGTATTATATGCTACCTAACTAGCAGGAGATTAAGAGGAGGCATTCTCCCCAACAGGAACAAGCTGGCAGTATGGTTTACCTAGCTAGCAGGAGATGGAGAGGAGGCATTCTTCCCAACAGGAACAAGCTGGCAATATGAAAGCTGTTGGTTGCTACAAATTTTTGCCCGATTCAATAAAAAACAGACTAAAATAAAAATTCTAATTTAAGGAATAAGCTGGCAATATGGTTTACTTAGCTAGCAAGAGATGGAGAGGAGGCATTCTTCCCAACAGGAATAGGCTGTCAGTATGGTTTACCTAGCTAGCAGGAGATGGAGAGGAGGCATTTTTCCCAACAGGAACAAGCTGGCAGTATGGTTTACCTAGCTAGCAGGAGATGGAGAGGAGGCATTCTCCCCAACAGGAACAAGCTGGTATTATATGCTACCTAACTAGCAGGAGATGGAGAGGAGGCATTCTCCCCAACAGGAACAAGCTGGCAGTATGGGTTACCTAACTAGAAAAAGATGAAGAGGAGGCATTCTTTCCAACAAGAACAAGCTGGCAGTATGGTTTACCTAGCTAGCTGGAGATGGAGAGGAGGAATTCTCCCCAACAGGAACAAGCTGGCAATATTGTTTACCTAACTAGCAAGATATGGAGAGGAGGCATTCTTCCCAACAGGAATAAGCTGGCAGTATGGTTTACCTAGCTAGCAGGAGATGGAGAGAAGGCATTCTTCCCAACAGGAATAAGCTGGCAATATGGTTTACCTAGCTAGCAAGAGATGGAGTGGAGGCATTCTTCCCAACAGGAATAAGTTGGCAGTATGGTTTACCTAGCTAGCAGGAGATGGAGAGGAGGCATTCTCCCCAACAGGAACAAGCTGGCAATATGAAAGCTGTTGGTTGCTACAAATTTTTGCCCGATTCAATAAAAAACAGACTAAAATAAAAATTCTAATTTTTTTAATAATAAATCCAATATGGTAATGACTATTTTAGTGGACAGTTCCTAGGAGAGCTTCAGTTAGATCATGTAGTTCAATATCAAACTTACTCGTGCCCCTAAATAGTTTCTTACAATATATCAATAAATCTGTTTGTTTATTTGTTTCTGCCTAAAGTAAAAATAGCTAAACCAATTGAGCCCACAACTTTTGTGATATATCACTTTTTTTAAACTAATCAATGATGAAAACAAATTTTGCGAAATTTGTAGTTTTACAGCTCATGATAACATGTGGATATGAAAAGCATTAATTTTAAACCTAAAACTTTAATAAACAAAACGGGTCTGAAGTTAACATATAAATAAGTCCATAAATCAATAAATTCAGAAATGTAAAGAACCCAAGATCTAACAACAACAAATACTTGTCAATCTACCCATATTTTCCTACCTGAGTAAGATAAAACTAAGACCCCTGAGAATGATTGAAGTTTGAAAAGCCAGGCATCCATTAACCACGGATAGAACTACACCTGGAAGAAAGAACTTTTTGTTAATTTTTTTTGGTGTACTAACTTAAGTCTGTAACAACTTTTTTCTGGAATGTAGCATATTTTCTTTTCAGTAATTTAGTGATTTAATGCCCAATTCACTGTTGTTTGATCTTTTTGTGATCGTCCGATCCAATCAGGGTTCAGTAACCTGCTTGGTGACTGCTTGGTAATTGTCCAATTAGAGATTAATTCTAAGATCAGTGAGAAACAAAGAAGAAATGTGTACTACTACCAAAACAATGAAATTGTTCAAATAGATTAAGAAATTAAGGTCTTACAAGTCACAACTTTATAATCATTTTGACCTTAAAAAATTAGGAGGGGATATTGCAAATATTTGTATATCAAAAAAGCTATAAAAAAGTGTTTTACCTTATTGTGTCCTAAAATTCATGAATTTTTTTAAAATAAATTTTGGAAATCTCATAACTGGGTATATTTTAAAATAACCACGATCCATAATGTGTAAAAATCAGGAAAACTATGTTCTAGAAAAAAATATGACATTGATCAATAATCACAGCAAATATTTAAGTCACACTCAATTCTCATGTTTTTAGAGACACTTCTCTGTACACTGTACAGTGTACATATCTTAACATATCAATATACCTGTTTTAGCAAACCCATCCATACAATGCAGAAGACAAGGCCAGCCACAGAATACAGATACAAATACAACCTAGACATGTATAAAGGTTAGTACAGAATACAGATACAAATAGAATCTAGACATTTTTATAGGTTATAGTACAGAACACATATACAAATACAACCTAGACATTTTTATAAGTTATAGTACAGAACTCATATACAAATACAACCTAGACATGAATATAGGTTAGTACGGAATACATAAACAAATACAACCTAGATATTCATAGACGTGGGGCATTCAATAAGTTTTGCGAAATATTTTCTAAAGGCATTTTTCCCGTAGGTTGTTTAGCTCTGTTGTCACTGCTCAGGAACAAATGAACCTTGGAAAACTGACACTTCGGATGCTCAATTCACAAAAATTTGGGGCTTAAATTTTCCAAATACAAAGCAGAAACCTTTGACATGATTCAAAATGCATTAGAGGAGAATAACATGGACAAGGCAACAATCTACATGTGGACTAAAAGGGAAAAAGTGTAATGGAGAGTGTTAACAGAAAGAGGAAATGTCTGAGCAGAAAAAAATCACAAAAACCCCTCAAACAGTTGACACAATTGAAAGTTTCTCAAACTAAATTCACAAGAATTCTTAGTTAATGAAGTTTTATGAGTAAGGAATCTGAAATGGTGCTGAAAGACAGGGTGGTGCATACAGAGTTGTAAAGCAAGATTTTAAAAATTACAAAGATTTGGACAACATTTGCTCATAAAAGGTCTTAGGAAAAGATACTAATTTGTGTGTTGAAATGTAGACTATAACTATAAAAAACCTTCAAGTACCCTTTCTAAAATAAAGGCTTAACCTCCTTTGACTTTTTAAGTTTCCCAATCTCTAGAACACACATAAATGGATAAAGTTTAAGTCTATAAATAAAATATTTAGGCTGATGACAAGCAACGTTTACAGGCTCTGGGAGAAAGCTATTTGCGTCAAACATATTTTCTAATCGACATTAGCTGGTCAGAAAATTGAACCAGTATAAATAATAAATATAAAAATTTAAAAATCAAAAAATTTAAAGGGTTGAGATGTCTAAAAAATTTCGCAAAACTTATTGGACGCACTTATCAACCTAGATATTTATATAGGTTAGTATAGAATACAGATACAAATACAACCAGACAAGTATATAGGTTAGCACAGAATACAGATACAAATACAACCTCCCGACCAGACCAGATAGCGTAGATTTTACGCAGACCCTGCGAATGCGTTGATTTCGACGCTACAAAATTTTAAAAAGGAATTTTTTTAAAATAAAGAATACAAATACCAACCTAGCCGTTTATATGGGTTAGGAGAGAATGCAAATACAACCTATACATGTTAGTACAGAATAGAAATACAAATACCAACCTAGCCGTTTATATGGGTTAGAAGAGAATACAAATACAAACCTAGCCGTTTGTATGGGTTAGGAGAGAATACAAATACAACCTATACATGTTAGTACAGAGTAGAAATACAAATACCAACCTAGCCGTTTATATGGGTTAGAAGAGAATACAAATACCAACCTAGCCGTTTATATGGGTTAGGAGAGAATACAAATACCAACCTAGCCGTTTATATGGGTTAGAAGAGAATACAAATACCAACCTAGCCGTTTATATGGGTTAGAAGAGAATACAAATACCAACCTAGCCGTTTATATGGGTTAGGAGAGAATACAAATACAACCTAGACATGTTAGTACAGAATAGAAATACAAATACCAACCTAGCCGTTTATATGGGTTAGAAGAGAATACAAATACAAACCTAGCCGTTTATATGGGTTAGAAGAGAATGCAAATACAACCTAGACAGTAGACATGTTAGCACAGAATAGAGATAAAAATACATACATAGCCATTTATATAGGTTGAGAATACGAATACAAATACTACCTATTGTTAATAGAAAGTATATACACTTTTTTATATGCATCAGTATATGCATTTACCATCTATACACTTTAGATAGATTTTATTATATGTAAGACTAGTTTGAGAACCCAGCGTTGACCATGCTACTTATGGTTACTCATAGTGGACCCACTTAGAATCTGAAAACCAAGCTTAGAACATTCCCGTGGGTCTCCCGAGTTCCCCTATCAAAATTTTAGGCAAGGGATTCCTAGGTTATGATCGGACATCCAAACAAACAAACAAACAGAGATTACAATTTTATACAGGGTAAGTCAAAAAAAAGTGTGATTAGTAGCGTCTGATGCAAAATTGTACCTCCTGTATAGTATTTTTTTCAATATTTAAAAAGAAAATTTTTAGGTACTGATATCCTAAGCCGACCCCCTTGCTTATATCCCCCCCCCATGGTAAAAAAAATCCGCGAAACTTTTTTCTTTCAAAATCAAAGTTTCAGAAAAGCAAAAATGTGTATACATATTTTATTTCTATCAAATTCTAGGTTTTATAAAGATTGAATAACAGAATCACAGAAAATTTACAAATTGCAATAAAAAAATTCGTAATTTTCAGTTCTGTTCTAATTTTCAAGGAAAACTTCATTATATCCACGAGTTTATTGTCTTCTTAGTATATTGTAAAGTTATAAATATGCGTTGTTCATTTGAAAACTGAGGAGCCATTGAAAACAACTTTTCCTTAAAAATTAGACCAGAACTGAAAATTGCAAATTTTCATATAACACTTTTGCGAATTTTCTGTGATTCTGTTATTCTACATTTACAAAATTTTAGAATTTGATATAAATAAAATATAAACACATTTTTGCTTTTCTGAACTTTAGATTTTGAGAGAGAAAAAAAGTTTCGCGGATTTTTTTGGGGCTATTGGAGAACAAAAAAAATTCCAAAAAATATCGAAAAAAAACATACAGGAGAGTTCCACAAAAAAGTACAATTTTGCACCAGACGCCGCTAAACACATTTTTTTTACTCACCCTGTATATATATAGATTATATTTTATGTGAGTACAACTTACCATAAATGTCATGATTTCAGCAGACTGTTCAACTAGAGAAAAACTGTTTAAAAATGAAGCAAATAAACAGATTTATATTTCAAGCCTTGTTTTTAATTTAGAGTCTTGATTTATGTTTAGAGGATATCTTTTCTTAAAACTACAATGTTCCAGGCAGCCACCTCTCTTCAAATGTTTTGTTATAGCTGGTCTAATTACTTACTCTGGGGGTGTAAACTTAGGATTTAAGATTACCTAAAAAATATAATTACACTGATTGAGGTTATTTGGGAATCTATAATCAGGTTAATCCTTATCCCTTATTTTGCATCAGAGGAATTTCAAAACTTCATTTGAATAAGATTTCCTACGAGAATGATGGTAAGGCATTTTTATATTATCAAAAATGTCCAAACTCGTCAATATTGGTTCAAAATGAAGGCTTGTAGCTACCACTTTTGAAAAAAAAGACTTTCATAAGTCCTGAAGGTCATTCTCACCCCGGAATAACCAGAGTGAGCAGCATTCGGTTTCTTCTGGAATATTGACAGAACCGTTAAATCCAACAGCATGATGTTGACGTAATTTCAAGAAATCCTCCAGTTACATTCTCGATTCACAACGGAACCCGTAAAACATTTGTCTGTGTTAGAAAAAAAGAATTAGATATCCTTGTTTTCAAATTTAAAATCTAAAATTTCAATTGCAGTTTCTTAAAAAAATGACCTACGGATTTATGCAGCAGAGAAAAGAAAGGAAAGTGGCAGAATTAATTTCTTTTAGAAAACAAAGTTAACATCTCTATTGTTACTTAGATACAGATTTGAAACTTACTGTTGAGATTTAGGCAACCAAGCAACTTATGCACTTTAAAGAAGATTAACTTAAAATTATGTTAACAGTCCCTTCTGATTTTAAGAAATGATTAAAAACAGTTGTACTCCCCTGGTGATTGTGGTTGGTTTCTGTATTCTACTATAGATAGGATGACCAGCATATTCACCAGCTGCCACACTATTACTACTATCCCCAGCTTCACCTGGAATGTTCAGATGGTACCAATGGCTGGGGCGTATACAGAAATTGTACACCTCTTGAATAATCCCGTCTGATAAAATTTCACAAACGGTTTATGCTCTTACTCAATAATTATACAACGTCTTATTGGTATTCAATGACCCCTAAATGATCTTACTCAGTGGTTATACAACGTCTTATTGGTATCCAAGTACCCCTAAATGCTCTTACTCTGTAGTTATACAGCGTCTTATTGGTATCCAATGACCCCTAAATGCTCTTACTAAGTAATTACACAAATTTTTATTGATATCCAATGATCCTTAAATGCTCTTACTCGGTAGTTATACAACATCTTATCAGTATCCAAGGACCCCTAAATGCTCTTATACTCATTATTTACACAACGTATTAATGGTATCCTATGACCCCTAAATGTGCATTACTCAGTATTTATATAATGTCTTATTGGTATCCAATGACCCCTAAATGCTCATTACTTAATAATTATACAACGTCTTTTTGGTATCCAATGACCCCCAAAACTTAACTCAATATTACATAATTTTCTGTTCAACATGTTACCAAGCCTATTTTTCCCTTTAAAAATGCTGTTTTAAACCATCTCTGCAATAGATAGGGGGGGGGGGGGGTTTTTTCACCACTGCGCTCATCCTTGGATAATAGTGGATAACCAGCTTTATCTTTACCTGTTTAAATCTTCTTTTAGCCCTATATTCTTCTATACTCTGAGCTCGAGTCCTGAACAAATTATCCAGGTTTGGTAGACATTTTTCTTTAATGCAGATCTTAAAGGGACTTCTGCAAAGAAAAAATGAAAGGGGGTATAGACTGAAACCTAAACATTTCAGGAGTTGATTAAAACTTAAAAAAGTTCTATCTGATGTTCCTGTCTCGAGAAATTGATTTAAAACTGTGTCAAATATATAGCAAAACTTATGTATGTAAGATTTGGTATAAGATTCTAAGTTGTAAACAGATCATATTCAGCAAATATCGCAACCAATCTGAAAACTTTGATATCCCAGAGGAGCCTGAAAAACTCAGGTTTGCTCCTATTATTATTTGAATTTTATAATTTTCATTTGAAATTGATAATATTATTTTGATACGTCTGTATCACATGACCAAATCTCCAACCAATGGCAGTGCAGTATACTGGTCACATGATACAGACGGAGACATGTGACAATAATGCTCATGTTTCAGAGTATGCCCTATACCCCCTTTAATTTTTCCTTTTCAGTTCCTTTCACTAGAAAGTTATATAGCTTTCACTAGAAAGTTATATAGAACAACAATTGCAACAATTCATTGATTTGACATTTCATCAATGAATTAATTTCATGATATGACATTTCATAGATTTTATATTCCATAGATGAATTCATTTCATAGATAGGACATTTCATGGATAGGACATTTCATAGATAGGACATTTCATAGATTTTATATTTTATAGATGAATTCATTTCATAGATAGGACGTTTCATGATCAAGAAAATTAATTTATAAAAAGGAAATGATTTACCATAGTCATTGAGAATATTATTAGTTCATGAAAATTCGTATCTATGCAATGTCCTGTCTATAAAATGTCTTTCTATGAAATGTGAAACGTGTCAGAACTTCGAAAAAATTTTAAGAATTAAATCACCTGTTACCAAAATCAAAGCTGACTCCTCCCATTTTGATCTGGGATTAAAGCACAATTCACTAAAAATTCATTTCCATACTTTTGAATGCCGGCCCTCTTCTCTTCTTGATTAAAAGAAATAAAGTAAATCTTAAATAGTAATTTGACAGCAAAATAGAAATAAATGCTCATAATTATAGCGGAAATATATTTTATTGATCCATATAATATAATGAATTATTTACTAACTATATCAGCGTAAATAAATAAAAAAATCTTGCCCCCCCCCCCCATTGCTAAAATCCTGTGTTCGCGCATGAAACATGAAAAGAATGGTTTAAATCGATCCCCAGTGTTTACACGACTGAATACAATATTTAGGCGTCGTTCCTAACTTGGCGGAGGGGGGGATAGATAAAACTCCTAAGAATGCGCGAATACCGGATAATATTTCTTTAATTCTCTCTCTCTATGACAGCTTGCCATGACAGCTTGTTTCTATAGATAGTTTGATTTTAATTTGATACGAATGTTAATGATTTATATTATGACTGTGAGACTGGTTGGATTTTTGATACGAATGTTGATTTTAATTTGATACGAATGTT